AGAACAATGTTGGCTCTTGGGTTTTCATACTTTTTACTATGTTGAAGAAATTCCCCTCTAATCCTATTTTGTTGAGTGCTTTAATCAGGAAAGGGTGTTGGATTTTAGTTTTTAAAATGACGTTGTTGCTTATCAGCATGTGGCAGATTTTCCCAATGCAACATGTGTTTAGATTTATTGACTGCTGCTATCATGGGTGTTTATATGGATATAAGTAAAACGAAATCCTTGACACTTTTAGTCTTTTCTGCATCTGTCATGTTGCCTGCTAGTTCTGTGGTGAAGATTTTTTTCTTGATACTGAGTTATAATCCATATTGAAGGCTTAGTCTTTGAAGTGTTCACTTTCATCAAGCAAGACTGTATCAGCTGCAAAAGGAAACCTGTTGATGAGTCTTCCTTCAGTCCTGATGACACATCAGGATGCTTGGGCTCTTCATGGAGCCCAGATTCTTGATTGATTTGTCAGCATAAAGATTGCATAAGCTATGTAGAATATGGTACTGCTACACCTCTCTCTTGATTTTAATCCATGGAGTGTTCTTTTGTTCTGTTTAGGTAACAGCAAGATTTTACTTGCATGTGATATTGTTCAGGAATTTCTACACTCTGTTGGATGATGTTATTTTTTAGGAATAGGAAGAAATACAGATCTTAGTCTTCAAATTTCACAGCATAAACTGGTGAGCATATCCAAGGCTGCCTCCATTTCCTGAAATACTTCAATTAGTATTCCATCAATTCTTGAGACCTTTATTTTTTCACAAGTGTTTCCAGTACAGCTTAGACAGCTTCCTTCAAGTCCTATTGTTTTTTAAGCATATGCTACTTTCTGAAATATTTGTGTCAACCAGTTCTTTTTGGTACAGTGAGTCAGTGTCTATTTCTTTCATCTTCTTTTCTTGCTTCCTGCATTATCCCAGTTTTTGCACATAGAATCCTTCAGTATTACAACTTGAGGTTTGAATTTGTTCAATTCTTTCAGATTGAGAAATGGTGAGGAGTATTCTTTACATTTTGGATTTCTAATTCCTACTCTTTATAGATATTTAAGATACTTTGCATGAATCAGCAGAACATTTCCCAAGCATGCTAGGATAGGTGATACCACTTTAGAAAAGTAATACAGGAGGAGAAACAAACAAACAAATTGGGGAGGGAAGGTGGAAATCAAGATTGTTTGGTTTTATGTTTCAGGGTCTGTTGGCCAAAATACCTCAAAGCTGTGAAGACGGCAAGGTGGTGAACTGTATCAGAAAAGTGCAGCAGGCTTCTGAAGGCACTCACTATGATGGAACTAAAGATTTGTATTTTACCTGAAGATTAAAGAAATTTCTTCTATCTCAGACTGTATAACTGGCATAATTTATAAATAAAGGTATTTTTCACATCAAAACTTTAAAGTTCACTCCTTTTCTTTATTTCCTTTATTTCCCACAATAATAGGGAAATTTTTAAATTGGGAGGGGTGGGGACGCAGACATGACATCCACTAAGGAAACACTGGGTTACCCATCAAATTTAGAAGTATTTACAACCACAACCTCTTCCCCACCTCAAGCTGTTAAGCTTCTTGAGCTCAAGGTATTACTATATCACATGTCAAAAATACTGTAAAAAATACTCTGCTCACAATTTAAGACATTCCTTTATACTTCCTTTCCATATTTCTTGGCCCTCAAAAATTGGCATAAATAGTGTTAAAAATAGTATGAAAAAGCAAAAACTGGACATAGGTTTAAGATACCAAAATGAAAATAAAAAATGTTCGATCCTGTTTAGAAATCACGTGGTTCTGACTTTGGCTGTGGGCTCTGTTTCCTGTTCATACTCAATTTCTACATAGGCTCGTTTTCTCAGTGGAGGTCCTTTCAGAGGTGTTTTGCCTTTGTGTTTAGCATTAAAGGCCTTCTCCTCTTCCTCACTGGAAGATTTCTCTTCCTCATCTTCATCACTACTGGCATCCAGTTTATCCATATCCTAGTTTGCAGAAAAGAGAGAAAAAATGAGGAAAAGAATGGTAAATAAAGTCCCCAACTCACTTGAATGTTCTCTCAATTTAGAACAGAATGTTCAGAAACCCTCAATTTTTTCTGAAAGTCAGAGGAACTTTACCCAAAAAGCTCACCTCAAAGTCACTTATGTCACTTTCATCCACTTCATAATCTTCTACAAATTCTCTTTGTCCTTCATCCTAAGGTAAAACATAACAAGTGAGACATCTAGGTTTGGTTTTTGGAGTTAGATCTGACTGGCACAGGAGGACAGTGCCCCCTCCTTCTCCAGCAGAGGATCTTGTGGATTTGAACCGTGCACCTTCAGGATTGCAGCGCAGCTCCTGGCCACTAGGTCACCAGAGCTCCCTTGAGACATCTAGTTTTATTCTCTGATAAGTATGTATATGATCAGAGTCAGAGTCTACTGGCTAAGCAACCCAAATTTGTTGTTGTTGTTGTTGTTATGTGCCGTCGAGTCGTTTGCGACTCATAGCGACCCTATGTACAACAGCCCTAAACCGTGCTCTATCCTGTGCCAATCGCATTGCCTCTGACACACCCATCCCGATTATCCCAGTCACTGAATCAGTCCACCTCACAGAGGGTCTTCCCCTCCTGCGCTGTCCCTCCACCCTCCCAAGCATGATGTCCTTCTCCAAGGACATCCTGGCAACATGTCCAAAGTATGTCAGACGAAGCCCCAGAATCCTTGCCTCCAAGGAGCAGCCTGGTTTAACCCTCTCTAGAATGAATCTGTTTGTTTTCTTGGCAGTCCATGGTACATTCAATACTCTTCTCCAGCACCACAGCTCAAAGGCATCAATCCTCCTTCTATCCTCCCTAGTCACTGTCCAACTCTCTGATGCATAACAAGTGATTGCAAAGACCATGGCCTGTATCAGGCAGACCTTAGTCTCCAGAGAGACACCGCTGCTCTTGAGTACTTTAGAGAGGTCCCTAACAGCAGACTTTCCCATCGCAATACGTTTTTTGATTTCCTGGCTACTGGTGCCAAGAGTGTTGACCGTGGAGCTGAGCAAACTGAAGCTGTGAACCATCTCAATCTCTTCGTCATCCATCCTGATGCTACTGATTGGTCCAGTGGTGAGAATTTTTGTCTTCTTGACATTGAGCCTCAGTCCATATTGAAGGCTGCAGTCCTCGACCCAAATTTAGTTATTCCAAAATCAAGTATTTGTGAATTGAGACATTTTTAGTTATCAAACAACTCTCACATCTTATTTAAGTAGCAAATGTCTTCATTTTAAATGACTAAATGGTATATAAGATGGAATTTACAAATAATTCCTAGTATATACAACTCAAAGGTAATTAAAAACATTTTACAAAGAGTTTAGCCCAATTGGACCATACGGTTAAAGACCTACTTACTAAATTAGCCTTTTTTTCTAAAACCACTATTTAAATACTTTGCCCATTTAAGAGAAAGATTAAACTCAGTGTAAATTTCAGTATGTGCCTTAGTGGTATACGTAGCTAAGGAGGATTTTTCACTTGTCACTTCATGAAAATAACTGTTTATAACCAATAAACACAATTCTAGATACCAGTAAGTACAGGTGTCAATGTCTAACTAGTCTATTGGTTGAGCATTGAGAAAAAGCAATCATTCATTTTACTGACCCAAATATTAGTCACATGATAGAATGAAATCACCAAATAATTCTTTATTGTCAGGAAACTCTAGCTGATTTTCCATCCTTTAATCATATTAAAACAGGTCTAGAAAACAAAAAAAGGCTTACTTCATCATCATCATCTTCTTCCTCAGCCTCTGAAGAGTCACTCTCTGCCTCCTGCTGTTCCAGGGCGTTGTCGAAAGCATGAATGGGGAAGTTGTAGATATCGCCATACTGAATAAAACAAATACAAACTGGCTTTAGCCAAATTTGGAGGTTCTGTTGCCTGATGCTTCCCCCCTCTTCAGTGTTTAAGTGAGAAAGGATAATATGATGAGTAGTAGTATTTCTATATTTAAGCCTATGGTAGCAGTGTCTTTAAAAGGCCTTTGACATTTAAATTATCAGTGATTCATATCAAACAAGTAACTTTTATGAGGATGGAACAAGAGCACTAAAATTTAGGGATTTATAAAACCCAGACTAGGACAAAGGTGATTCTGCTGATGAAAAGGAAACTGTGATGCAATACTTCTTAAAATATGAGATGCCTAGGGTAAGGAATAAAATTCTGGCTTTCATATAGCACTCCACAAGTGATGCATTTAGGAACAGAGAGAATCAAGAGTAACTTTAAAGCACTTTATGTACTTAAATATGAATGACCTAAAAGGAGGACGTAAAGGTTAGCAGAGCAACTCCCTACAGATTAGGCCACCAGAATATTTCCTAGCATGGTACCACTGCCTAAAAAATTAACATTTGTACCCACAAACCCTTCACTTTCTCACCGTATCTTGCTTCAATCTTTCCAGTAGTTCCTTTTCAATGGCATTGTCCAACTGGGCAGCTATTAATGCCTTTTCCTATTAAAAAAAGAGAGAAACCCATTTGATTCATCAATACTCGTTTTTTAGCCAAAAGAAGAAATGGCCAAATTTGTGTAAGATGTCATCCTTTTTTTCCCTCTTGCTATTTTCATGCTTCTTCACCTCACAAGCCTTTCTGGGAACCTATCAATTAAAAAAATTTCTGAAAAAAGGACATTCACAGATTGAAAGTTATGGTCTCACTTTCTAATTCAAAGTAGGACATCATTTAGCTAGGCAAGTCTACTATGGCCCTGGGGAGCCTCCACAAGTTGCGCTCCACAGGGTCTCCATGGCTGATTTTTTTGGATTCAGATGTCCAGATCTTTGTTTGAGGCACCTCTGAGTTTACTGAAACTACCACCATTCCAAATGGCATAGTATTTAAATAAGCTGTAGACCTGACGGATAAGCCATGCATGTGGCACCAAAGATGTTCACAAAAAAATTATTTTTACAAAGATGGTAAATGGCTGCCACTAGTTTATAGCTTAGCAAAAGTTTTGAGAATACACTTTAAGAGAAATGCAACATGTTAACTGTTTTTAAAACAACTTGGTAAAAGTTGTTTGACTGTAATTACATTTATATGATGCTGTTGCTGAAAATCTGTGTCTCCTATAAAAGCTACAATTACACACATTAAAACTTTAAAACTTGCATGCAGAATGTTCCTGTCTACTCTTTCATGTCTAGATTTTTCACAGGGCTTCAAAGGCATTTGCTAAAAACAGAATTTCATTGAAAAGTACTTAATACTAATAATCAACAATGTACTTCTCTGAATTTCAGAGATATTGATTAACTATTCTAGTCCTTAATAACAAATTTGTACTTTAAGAAGCTAAGAACCAACCAAACCACACCTTCATTTAATATACCACAAGTAACTACATCCTAATATAATCATACAATAGTAACTATATTAGAAAAGTGTACATGCACTTCTTAGGTGATATTTACACTAGGGAGTACCTATTAGAAAGCTTTATTGATGGGGAGAGTGATCAAAAATGTTTGGAAACAACAGATGGAATAAATTTGAGATGAGGTACTCTATGTTATTAATGAGAACAAAGGTATCAAATAATATATTAAAGGTAATTTTGATAGTATGTGAGAAATGATCATTCAATGTTTGAATGAGAAGTAGGCAAAAACATGAACTCTCTGAAAGAACAGACTGCTGGGGTAGTAAAGCAGTAAATTCACCGAGTGTGAATGAGGTACAGTGAGTTAAAACCTGTAGCTACTGAGTCAACACAGAACTGGCCTCACATAGGGTTCCCAAGGCTATGCACCTTTACAAAAGCAGAATTCCAGATCTCTCTCTCATTAAGCAGCTTAGGTTCAAGCTACCAATCTTTTCAGTTGGAGGGTAAACACTTTAACCACTGTGCTACCAGGGAAGCTGCCATCAGGAAGATACTTCAGAGAACTGACTCCTTGCTAGGGCAAAGGTGGGAGGTACCTAACTAATTTTCAATGAACAGTAGAATGATTACCTTCACTATTCATTTCTAATAATAAAACTTTCCCCATAACTTCCTGAAGGAAAAAATTACAGATTAAAATGGAATCTATAAATCTTTACTAGCAATTTCAAAATTAAAAAAACTCAAATCAGTGGCAAAATACAATTTGAAATGGCATGAGCCTATTTAAAGACTTAAAAATTTTCGTTTAGTGTTGTGAAACATACCACATCATAAATTTCAGACAAGGGACTGTAGACCTCTTAAAGATTTGTTTTGCCTTCTTGCTGTACCTTATTACTGAAATGCCGTATTTTAACTTGCACTCTAAGTTATAAT